GACCACACTGAAAATTAAATGATATATTAAACTAACCCCCGATAGAGTGACACAGCCTTCAGGCTGCACACCCGCACCCTAAACCAGTAAGCCAATCCGAATCCAGACGTCCGACTGGCGGTTCTGGCCTGGATACCCCGGCCTTGGCTGGCTCTATGGTGATTTCGCGTCAGTCAGATGCACCCAGGGGGAAAAAAAAAAAGAAGAAAAAAAGAAAAAGCCACAACTGCAGTTCAAATCATAAAGCGGACCCCTGCTTGTCGCTGCGAGCCACCTCTTTGTCTTTGGTTAATCAGTATCGGTCCCATGCATACCCTTTTTCACTTCTTTTCTTAACTCCGCTATGCATTCACGCCCGTCTTCACCCGAAGAGAACACCCGATCGTCGTATCTGTATTTGGGCAAACTCCCAGGGCAGGTGCAGAGACATACACGAGGCATTTATTCGAGTAAGGACGATGGTCCACTCCCCTTCTGGTCACCATTATCGTATTACACTGCTACTGAGAATCGGACTCCTGTCTTCGCAGTCTCTGTCGTGACGGTCCATGGACACAAGGGAACGGAAAAAAGGAAAACAAAACAAGGGGACCTGGGGCCCTGTACTAACGGTTTGAGCAACCTCTACCGTCTTGGCCCGAACACAACGCAACCTGAATACAAGCTATCTTTCCGGTGCGGTGCAGTCAAAATATATATCGGTGCAACGTGTTCGGGGAAGACGGTACTTTCCTGATGTCCTGAACCGAACCATATGCCGACTGCTAACGACTTGCCCCGAACACAAGGCACAATGATAATGAATGAATACATGCCGTCTTTCCGGACCGGTGCAGTCAAGTGTCAGTGCGTTGCATTCGAGAGAAGACGCTACTTCACTGAGGCCAAGCATATGCCCGACTACCTCCCAAATCGAAAAAATGCCGACTACCTACCGGTAGTATGCCTGATGCAAACTGAGCTGACACCTTTCTTTGTTCCGTTTCTCTGGAGACTGCACTTGCGGGATACCGGGTCAAGCGTCCCAGTGCTACATGAATAGGTAAAACACAGATCGATGAGTTTGACAACAGTGAGTAATGCACCATCCTTCTTCATGAGAGCGTAGCTGGCTGGAATCCCTCCCCTATAAAATACAATACAGCCCTACCAATACCCTTCCCCCCAAACCAATACTGTTATAGTAAGATATTGCCTGGAGGAGAAAGCGAGTCGATGAACTCCGTCACAGACCTCACTTGAACAGGATCAAAGGTCGACACAACGTTGGACCCGTGCGTACGAAATTGACAACCCGTGCATTACCTTACTGCACAAGCTTCAACCGCGTGACATTGGAGCTAGAAGTTCACCCAAGAACGCAATCTGCAACGGTTCAGCTAGGCATATAGTCTGCTATGCTTCACCTAAGCACATAGTCTGCAACCATTCCCCTAACCACGCAGTCTGCAACCATTCACCTAACCAAGAAGTGTGCAACCATTCAACTAAAGACAGTCTGTGGTGAATCAGCTAAGCACATAATCGGCAAAGAACACAGCAAGTGGTAGACATATGAGAGCGGAATTCGAAAAAGAAGTGTCAAGAGATAGTAGGCTGCGCCGGCGATGAAAATGAAGGAAAACACGTACCAGCCGCTCTCCAGATCCATAGTCTGCAACGAAGTAAGAGCGGAATTCGAAAAAGAAAAGAGAATAATGGGTTGGATTGTCCAGAATGTACCTAGTATACGATAGTTGGCGCCAAAATGAAGGACCACAGAAACAAGCCGCTCCCCAGATCCTATGTCCTGCCGTCTGCTACGCCCATCTCCTTAATTCTATTCACGACCTCAACCTCAACCTCCACTTCCCTCTTCCCCCCCCTCCCCTCCGCTCTCCTCTTCACACCCACCTGTCACTTCCGACCGTACTCATGGGCAAGACTTGGAACAGAACTGGGAGATTCAGGTTTTTGAGAGGTTTAGGGGAAATGGGGGACACTCAAACGGGGAGGTTTTATGATCTGCCCCCACTACCAGGTAGTGCCAGGACGACAGTGCACGAAAGAGGAGGTAATGCCGAATCCCCACTAATAGGACACGAGCCACTCCCTCCCTCCCGCAGCAACCATTGGCATAGACGCTTTCAGACAGGAAGATATTGCTAAGTTGATGGAAACCAAACTGCATGCACACATCCCACATCCCGCAACAACCATTAACATAGACAGTTTGCACCCCAGGATGATACTATTACGTTCAAGGAAAAAAGAGTGAACCCATCCCGTAGCATCTTCAATTTGGAATACATCCCCGGGAATGCCGATGCACGGACACATCACTCCACTGCTCGCCGAATTCGAAAATCTTGGTGCGACTAAGTAACAAAACACAGAGTTCCAAGGATACAGCGACACTGGGGAAGGGACACAAGGCGGCCAAGCCCGTGAGCGGTTCGCACCTGCTGCGATGGAAATGCAACAGGATGATCACCAGATTCAAAATTCAGACACAAAACGAGTACTTAAAAAACGGATAAAATATGAACACAAATCGACATTTCGGACGAAATACATAATATGAATAAAATGAAAGATAAGATTATAATGAGTACTTTCTCGTAACAAAAATCACAAAACAAACACGAACGAAAAGAACGCCGGGGGGGGTAAGCTCCCACTTGCCCTAACTTCTGCTTTCCGATCTCTTCCAATTGGGATGACATCGACGTCAAGAACAGAAAACTCTTTCCAGGGAAGTGAGTCGCAAGTAAAAACGACACATCACAACGATAGAAAACTAAACATACACATACATCAAATAGAAACCGGGAATGTCTCCTCTCCGATAATCCCACGACAACAGTCATCAGTAAGTATCACAGAATAAAAGCGGGACCGAGAACAGCAGACGACGAAGGGAGAAATGCCAAGTGACGGAAATACCTTATCTGAAGGGGGTACCGTTTCCAAAAAAGTTAAAACAAAACAGCAAAAGCCTAAACTCAAAGGCATAGTTCAAGGTTCAAGCATAGTCCGAACTGCCAAACCTCATTTCCTTGGAAAAACGCAAAAACAAAAAACGAAAACGAACTGCCAAAGTTAAACTAAAATAAGAAAGAAAAGCAATCGACGTTATCACCGACAGAAACGGCAAGCAGCTCAGTAAAATAAGGTCTCAGTCTAATGATCTGCTGATCTGTTGTCAGCCGTCAAGACGATGACCTCCACGGCAGCAAATCGATTGGGCAAACGCATTCCTTACAGACATTGGGTCGGTATTCCAGGAAATGGCAAGGGGAACAAAGGCAAAATGGAGAAGAGATCACGCAGCTGTGATATGATCTTCACGGCTGGCAAACAATTGACTACGTAGTTCTTTCACTCACGAACTGCTTGGTCCGTTGCTCAGGATAAAATAGGTGACGACGACCACATGACAGAACCGATAACCCCAATAGAAGCCATTACTTTACGTTCAGCTAGTACTGAAAAAGCAACTGCTAGTAAAAGTGGTATTATTATTCCAAGTATTTTGGCTAAAATGCCAATTATATACAATTTCATTTTCGGGCAAAAGGGAAGACTGCCGACAATTGTAAGCAAATGAAGGAAACAATTTCGGGAAAGAACCAACGTGAGACCCGATCTGCGAAAACGGCAAGGAAAGGAATAGCAAGATGGACACCAAATTGGCATGCTGCAAAAGAGATGGGGGAAACTATGGGAGTGACAAAATATTTCTTTCTCCTCTCCATTTCACCTTTCATTATCTACCTCCATTTCACCTTTCATTTCTATTGTTATATACCGACTAAGCTACATTCTCCTCTCCATTTCACCTTTCATTATATACCTCCATTTCACCTTTCATTTCTATTGTTATATACCGACTAAGCTACATTCTCCTCTCCATTTCACCTTTCATTATCTACCTCCATTTCACCTTTCATTATCTACCTCCATTTCACCTTTCATTATCTACCTCCATTCCACCTTTCATTTCTATTGTTATATACCGACTAAGCAACATTCTCCTCTCCATTTCACCTTTCGTTATCTACCTCCATTTCACCTTTCATTATCTATCTACCCCCCTTACTCCTAAGCCTATGCATCCCCTTACTAATTGGGTGCGGCAGGGTAACGGCGTTCCCTATGCGTAGTTTGTGGCAAAACTGCCAACTCTTGCACGTACTCAAAGAAGAGAACAAAGGAACCTATCTACGTGAAACCAGAAATACGAATATGGCGGGAAGAGAGGGGATTAGAAAAATGCAGAGGAAAAAATAGAGAGATGCGGATAGATATGCCAGGAAAGAGTGGGGACGGCAAGGGAAGGATCAAGACGTCGATGAGTCGCTTGCGCTCAGACTGCTAAAAAATGGCAGGCATGGTAAGTAACCGTGATTTCATAGATGTGAAAATGGCGGGACGGAGGGAAAATTGACGTGTGAATGCAGAACCGCCGGGACACGGAAGACCGTCGGATTGTACACGAAGGACATAGTAAGGAAATCTGGATCGACGGCGCAGAAGGGGAGGCCCTGTTGTTGCCCTCTCTCCGATTCTAGTTAGGCATCAACCTACCCCAACCAACAAACAAGGACGGGCGAGATGCATGCGCTAGCGGAACTTTCACCCCGTCGTACACAGTCGTGCGCTTCAGAGTACTCGACTTACCTCCACTTCGCTGACATCCGTTTCCAGAACAGGCGGCGCAAAAACGAATCCGATTCGTAGAACCTCCGGGAACTGCATTGGCAAGAACAAACAAAAAAACTGCATTGCAATTGCAAAGAACAAAACTTCCAACAGTTTTAGAAAGAACCCAAAAGCATAAGCATAAACTTGAATGAAATTACTCTATTAGGAAGAATACGACCATACAGAAGGCACGCAACGGTCGATGGAATGAGATATACACCGACGCAAATCAAGAAATGGATGGACACAGGAAGAATATAAACATACAGACAGAAGGCAAGAATACAACCATAAAACGGCACTCACGGTCGATGGATCAAGATGCACACCGACAAATATCAAGAAATGGATAGACGCAATGCGAACTAAAAATTGAGAGACCCAACCAAAAAACGTGCTCTCGATTACAGCCAAGAAAACACCGGCAGACAAAAGTAGTCGAGGGCGATATATTACCCACCAATTAGTTAACACCGGTCACTCCGACAGATGAGTCGATGCAACAAGCTCCGCCAACAGATAATCACCGGATAAAAGAAGCGTGAATAACTCCGCTTCATTTCCCGAAGAGAATGCACGAAAGACGAGTGAGACCGATCCTTCTACGGAAGAACGAACAAATAGCTAGGCTTCTTATCCCGCCGCCGAGAACTCAAAGAAAAGACAAACGGTGTCCTTTTCACTATGTTTGTCCTTTTGACGAAAGAAACCCGCTCTTATTCTAGTATAGAACCAATAAGTAACTCAACCGATTGACAATAAGAGGGGGGAAGAACCCCAGCCCTCGAGGAAATGACCATTTGAGAAATCCTGAAACGCCACGGACCTTTCAAACAAGGGAGCATATCAGCAATAATCAAGAACCGACGACAACGAACAAGTCGTCAATAATCGGACCCAGAAGTAAGAATGAATCGAAAAAAGGAAGGCTTAAGTAAATAGAAAAAGAAAATTAGGGAGCACAGAGCCCCGTTCTACTAACGAACGTCACCAAGATTCACAGTTCTCCCCAATTACTGATTTCATGTATTCCAAATTACTGGTTCCATCGCTGCACGTATCGACTGCTGAACCCTCGCAGGTGAGCCCCTTCAACGCAAGAACAGGACCGCTAGGAAGGCCAGTGCGAGCTGCATGACCGTGGGTGCGCTTATGGACAAAGCGGCATTGCTAGCAGGGGCACTAGATGGCGCTGAGTTCTTGCCATTAGCAGAAGGAACTGTCGTCACAGTCGTACCAGAAGGCCCACCCTCCGGCGCCTCCGAGGGCAATGACGACTCAGCAGCAAGACCTCTACGATCAGGACGGCCACAAATCTGCTCATAGTTCCAAGCGATGTGAGCATAGCCGTTCTTCTCGAACACCTTGGAAAAGCTCAACGCGCACTTGGCATTGAAGCTCTCGCTCTCGAAAATCTGGGACAACAGCAAATCAACATTGAAGCAGCAAAGTCTCCGATTCGCCTTGGGAGAATTCAAATCGCAAACATCCTTCAAGGACGCCCAGTCTAGGTTGGCCCCGTTGCACGGATCAGAAGCCTCCGTTGTTTCGACATTGCCCACTGGGGACTCGATCACCATGTCTGCTACTGCCGCAGATGACACAATGCTCAGCGCCAGCAGCACAGCAAATGCCCTGACAACCTTCATCTTTGCCTCTCCGAGTGGCTGCTCTCAATCGAAACAAAAGATTGTCCACCCGCAAGAAGCAGGATAAATCCGCAAAACAGAACGAATAAGGACACAAAGAAAGACACGGAGAAGAAGTGGAAGAAGGAGAAGAAGAAGAAGAAGAAGAAGAAGAAGACAAGGTATCGACTTGCCGGTATAGGTCTCCTCAGATATGCGTGGCACTTAGTTGAAAAAGGACTGGTCGACTGATCGAGTGAACCGCATGCAAGCAGACTTGTTCAACGAAGCAGCAGCTGTTCCTGTACATACGTCTCTGTATTCCTCTGCGCCAAGATTCCGCTCGCGCGAGTATTCTCTTCTCCCGCTCAGAATGACCTTTCTAATGCGAGGAGAGCGAGAGAGGAGGACGCGCGAACACAACCATCGAACTGAGAGAGAGCCGACGACGATGCTAAGGCTGGGAATCTGGCGGCAATAAAAACGAATCGAACTGGAAACTGGAACTGCCTACGGGCGCGGTACCTACTGGTGGCTACCGGTAGCGGCTGGGTCGGGCGTAGGGCTTGCTTGTGGGCGGGTGGACACTCGGCCTCACCTCACAACGCACAAAAAACAAAATGAAAGGAAAAAGGAGAGTGCATCTTCCCGTAGAAACTGGCAAGATTCGGGCTAGCACTACGAATCGCAACGAATATACTTTGCCACCTCCGTTTGGTTTCCGTTTGGTTTCCGTTTGGTAGTATTCTCTGTGACGAGGCGCGTAGGGTTCCAGCGCTGGCCGAACGTGGAAAGCGGAAAGGAAATGGCAAACGCATCTTGCTATCTTCTTGCTAAAGATACACCCGCGCAATTTCACACATTTCTGGCCTGCCAACTAAAGTAGTGCAGCTACCGTAGGGTTCGGTCTGGAGGTATCTGGCCCCAATTCCGGACAAGTGAGGACGAAAAAGCCGTGTGAGCCTTGGGCCCTCGTTCCTCGGCCCACAGCCTACCCCAACCGGGGACGTCTCTTTCCATCTCAGGGGCCATGTCCCACACTAGCGGGGGCTGAGTTCATGTTTCGTGTATTTTTTTAAACATGGTCACACTGCGGCCGCAAGATTTCCGGATCGAATGGTAGCAAGCCATGTATAATACTTGAAACCCGAACTAAACGTCGACAAGTGGGACACGGGGTCTCTTTTTTTTTTTTTTTAACAAGGGACATGGGGCCTCGCTCCACTACTCGCGAAATGTGCAAAACGAGAGCGAATCTTCCGCTAGAACATGGAAAGATACACCGCCATGATTTTTGTCTTCTGTGCACGTCGAGAGTAGTGGAGCGAGACCCATGGTATGCTGGGCTGGGCTCTCACAGATCAGGCAAGGTGCACTCGTACTTGCGGTACCCGGTTAGTGCCGGAACGGCCCAACGGGCCCATTATCTCATCTCACGTGTATTTTCGTGAACATCTCCGACAGCAATATGGGTCAGATTCTGTCGACAGAGCTCGTCATACGTTGGTAATGAATGCCCCCTGGTCCAGAACCCGACCACGTTCTTGCTTCTTGCTGATGTGGATCTATAACTGCGCGAGATCGCGCGGATCTGGTGCACACAACACTCGCGAACCCGCCTGGAAAACACACCACATGTGGCAGACCCAGCGAGGATTGCCGTATAGATACAAAACAGCTGCATGTCCCAGCACGTCTGGGCACCCTCCCCTGCCCTCCCCTGCCCTCCCCTGGCCCGGCCCCCCAACCCTCGCGGCACTGCAACAGGGATCCCGAGCTGCGCACAGACACGTGCGCGTGGCGGGAAATCTGCGTAGGAAAAAAGAAAAAGACATTTTAAAAAAGAAACTGCGACAAGCCTCCGCGATCCCGCCCACTCCCCAATCAAGCTGCTGGATGGACGCTCGGCTGGCGCCCAACGGTCACAAACTCGATCGGCACGTTCTGCCCGGCGCCAAAGTTCAATTTAATTTCAATTTCAAAAAAGAAAAAGGTTCCTACTATTCTATTCACGTCATGCGAGGCGGCAAAGCGACGGCTGGTTGGCGCGGAGAAGCAGAAATAGCAGCTCTCTGTCCGCCCTGCTCTGGCCTGTGCGAGCCCAGAGCAGGAAAAGACTGGCAGAACTGCGGACGACAAGCGCAGGCCCCAGACGCCCCTTCTCGTGTCCGTTCGGAGTTCTAATCTGGGAAAGACCCTATTTGACTGCGGTCGAACTTCGACTTCGATCAAAAGGTCAGTGGGATCTCGGCATCTCTCTGCATTTGTGGGGTGGAGGGACTCCTTACCGCCCCCATTCAAAATCAAATCATCAAAAGGGGCCGGCGGAAATGGAACTGTCGGGCATTCGGCATGAGTCGGTTTGGGGGGCAACCCGTTTTGAGAACCCGCCTGGCCTTGGGTCCCGGGAGCCCTTACCGCTCAGAAGGGGCCGTTGGCCTTCGTAAACGTACTGCAGGAGACGGCGGACAATCCGGAGGACATCACTGCCCAAATGCAAAACCTGGGTGTGTCAGCCATGCTGGAGGGGGAGAACCCATGGAGACAACCACATGGAGCCCTTCAAATGTACTGCTGGTAATTGATGCCCTATTGCGCACCATCACGCCAGCGCAACTCTCGGGAAGTACCAGGGCGCCGGGTCAAGGCTCATACATCCAGGCAAAAAGGGTAGGATGCAAGGCCCGTCTTACCTGGATGGATGTCCAGCGAAATGACTACCTGTTACTTGCCGACCAGTACGTTTTTTTTTTTGTTTTGTTTTTTTGAATTGGACATGCTCCAATCTATTCGTGGGGAGCAACACGTGCTGGGAACCGGGCCCAGGGACCTTGTCCCACTAGCTCTGTTGAGCTAGGTCAACGTGGGGGTTTTGAGCCTGTGTGACTGTACGCGACAAGGGAGATGCACGTCGTCCAATTCATCTAACGGTCCGTTTTTAATAAAAAGGGCAATAGAGACCATCTTCGTTTTTTCTTATAACAAAAAACAGAAATAAATCCTTTCTCTCGAATACTACTACCCCTACCCTCGCCACTTTCCGTTGAACTAGCTGTCTCCTTTTTTCGAGACAGCTAGTTCAACGACCCTCTTGTTCCCCCAACAGGCGTTTTTCAAGAGAAACTGTACGAGCCTCCTTCCGTGCCATTTTTGGACGAGATTCGGGCACCTCTTCATTTTCTGCTGTGGAAGTGCCCATATGCCACTCCAATTGTGAAAAATAAAAAACGAGAACAATTGTATTCCTGCCGTTTATAAATGCATTTCTCATTTGAAATTGAATTAAAATGATTTTTTTTAGCTGTCGCACCGTTGAGCTGCCTCAACTAAATGGTGCAAGTGGGACAAGGTCCCAGCGCCCCATTCAAAAACATATTGAGAAGATTATGTAAAAAAAATTGAGTTACCGGCCGGGGCCATTACCCGGCTTCGGCTAAAGATGATAGCTGTGCAATCTACACAGAGAGTTAGGTTCTCTATGGATTGATCATGGGAATATTCAGACCGAAAACCACCTGCCTTCAGCAATTGTCAGCAGCTCAACCCTATCCGTCTCTCCCCTATACCCCGATACCCAATCGTCACCAGGCCTCCCACCCCCAACTGATAGGTTACAGAGTGGCACGACCCACCCCAGAAAAAAACCACCTGCTAGGCTACAGGGCAAAGCGACCCGCCCCGGCTCCAGCCAGCGTCGACTAAGTATCAGTTCACTAACAGACACTAGAGTGTCTTCCACCCTCGACAACTCCCCAGATCTCATGCCTGCACTTACTCTGCAAAAGTTGGTGTGCGACGGAATGGGCATTGGGAAAAAGAGGCTCGAATGTACTACTGGTCCCGAGCCTCTTTCGTACTTTAGAACCTCCTTTTCCAATGCCCTGAGAAATCCAAACCCTCACAGCGGAACCTTTTTAGGTTCCTGCCGCCGAGTAGGCGGCTTGAGGGCACCGAGAGAAGAGTGAGGCAAGTCAAAAGGCTGAAGTGGAGGGAGATCCCACGATTTTGGGGTTAGGTAGGGGAAGTCGTCGTTGGGGCAGAATTCTTAGAGCTAGACAATAGCTTCATAGGTAGGTAGTTTGTAGGACCTCTCTCCTCATAGTGGTTAACGCTAGAACTCCTCCGTTGGTAATGGGAGCGAATGAGAAGATAGGTGTAGCAGCAAGTACAGGGAGAGGCAAGAGTAAACTCAGGAGGGGTACTGGGCGTGCTCTTGGGTTAAAATATTGGAAAATGCCCAAAAAGTTCTTGCTTGGTTAAGGGGTTGGGTTTTCAGCTTGTTTTGTTAACGAGTCGTTAAGCAAAATTGCTCACTGAACACTGGCTGGGCTGTGCCCAGAAGTCGAGTCTTGAGTCGTTCCGGGTTGTTTGTGAGGAGCCTCAGTGGATGGGTTATAATGAAATTCTCACTTCCCCCCCCCCCCCCCAAAAAAAAAAAAAAAAAGCTCACAGCGCCCGATTTGCTTGGTGCTGCCGCCTTCTCCCCATCGACATTGTGAGCCTTTTTGCAGGGTTTGTGGGTTTGTCATGACTGATTGTCCCGGGGGTGACACATGAGTAATAGGAGTGCATTTGTCTTTCACAGGGTGTGAGCTATTAATGAGGAGCTGCACCTGCAAAAAAACGGGTTGAAAACGTTCAATACACTAGAGACATTCATTGCCAACCATCAGGTTCTTGCTGAATGGTTGGAGCACAAAATGGCAACTTAAGAAAAATAATCGCCCTTTTATTTTAAGGGTCGTCAATTTGGTTATTTTCCACTTACAACCATACATAGACTCCTGTTCTACGCCTTTCTCCATTACAACTAAGAAGGCATGAGCTTTGTCTTCCTCAAAGGGAAGATCTAAACTGTTCGGTAAGCATTAATTGCTCTCTGTCTAAAACATTCATCATCAAAACCTACGGTGATTGGATCCCTCTAACCCATGTCCCTTCTTCCTACTCTAACATTCCTCATTCCTCGCCGACAACCTGTACCACCCCTATTCTCAACCACTACCTGAACATCCACACTCAACCTCCTTTTTTTTTTAATAATCATTTTTATACCCCCAAAACTCCCCCAAATACTTCTCCTGCTTTGTTATTATCATTATAGTTTCGTACACTTGTGAAAAAATTATGCCTAAATCATCTCCCTTATTGTCTGCTTGAAGGACAAATGAACGACCTAACCATTGGAGAACCATTTTCGATTTAATACAGGGTCGTAAAAAGTTCCGATGTCTACGTTGGAAAAAGTTAGGCAGCGCTAAGAAAATTGTGCGTTCTGGGGGTTAAAATTTTTAGAGTCCGACAAAGTTCATATTTGCAAAAAGAGGCTCATGTCAACAAAGGTTGAAAGATCGATTTCATTTTGTCGATGGAAGGTTTGTTTGTGCTACCGTCTGGTTTTGTTTCTTAACGCTCATATAATCCAGATTGTTATTGTCTTTGACC